AATACCAGGGACCAGGGTGTTTCCCGATCCCTCTATAACCTTCAACTCTGAAAATTTCAAGCGATTGCAACCTCTGTATGAACCACTTTTTTGGGGGGGGAAATACATGACCAACGACACGAAAAAGGGAAAGAGCGTTCAATGCACGGTGAACAGTGAGTCAGACAGCGACACTTTTGGGAGAAGTGGGAGCACAAGCGAAGTACTATCGACTACCTCAATTAGGAGCGTGAAGACCTGAAGTGTGAGACGACTTGAAGCTCTACAGAGACGACGTCACCTGTGGGAAGTGAGAGTTTCATATGTGGTCGTGGCAGTGTTTCCAGTAGTGCAAAGGGAGCAGAGCATTAGTCTCAACCGGAGGAAACGATGACACGTAGAGGCATTCATTCTATTTACCCTTCTTTGCTTTAGGTATATCGACTCCTCCTTATCTGAGTCGTTTCATTGATCTCTTTAACGATGAATTTTCTTTTTTTCTTCTCTAAGTCATTCATGTCACTCTCTCTGACTTCGAACCTAAGCTTGGCTGCTTTTCTCGTTTTCAACGGCATGTATTTAGTCGTTTTCTATGACTTGATTCACCCTTTATCCTCTCACAACATGGTAGTCTCATAATTTGCTTATTACTAGGTTATTAGTATTGTATCGTCTTTCTCAAAATTCTTAATCTTGGATAACTCCGTCCGCTGCATCCTTACTGATCACACACTCTGTTACTCATCTCTCGTCCTCACTTATTGACATCAATACATTGGTTTGTTTGCTTTGTCCTCACATTACTTGGAACGAATGAACGAGATTTAGCATCGTCGATTTTCTACGGCCCACAAACTGAATTCTTGACACTTTGCATCTAACCAAATTCATAGGTCGATTTCTATTTCTCCTTTAGCTTGGTCTGTAGTGTAGATTTCTTGGCGTTTTGCATCGCACCGGATTTATAGACCAGATCCCTGCTCCCCTCTATCTCTAGCTGTACCATGATCGCTAGCGCACGCCTCTCCGTTGAAGGAACGACATGGCCGTCGGAGGGTGACTTCACTACGGTGTGAACTTAGATTGATGGTGTTCTTTCTGTTGATTGCTTGCCTCTTGTTTGCAACACACCTGGTAGTTCCTTGTTAAGTTTTTCTCCTTTTGTGCGGTGTGAACTTATATTGGTGGTGTTCTTTCTGTTGCTTGCTTGCCTCTAGTTTGCAATACACCTGGTAGTTCCTTGTCAAGTTCTCCTCCTTCGGTATCTATACTGGGCTTGTCCGTAGCAGGCAACGAAACGACTGGAGGTAGTGGGAAACCTACTAGTGGTTGTGGCAGCGTTGTTGAGCTACTTGGGGCACGGACGATAAACATGTAGCTGATAAGAGAGCAAACCTAGGTTGTACCCATTGAGATCTATAGTACATGGAATATGGTACTTTCTACAAAGTCCCAAGGGTACAAGGTAGGAAACCTCGTCATGACAACCCTGGCTCCACACGACTATTAGTTGGTCCGACTACCCTCTCCTTTGGTTTTCGATGGATCTTCCTTCAGAATTTTCCAAATCACCTGCTCCAGACGAAATTTTGTAGTTTTGCTTTAGATCATTGAACATTTGTCATTTCTTGGCTATTCACATTAGGTTGTGGCCTCCTGCCAATATAAGCAAGGTCTCTTCATTGGAAGTAGTTCGAGAACTGTCCTCTTTTCTGTAATATCTTTAAGCGAAGCTAGGTAAGGCTCACAATCAGAATAGTCCAGGAATAATAACTGATTAGTTTGCAAAGTGGTTGCCATTTTTATTTCAATTTTCCTCCTTTGGTTGAAGTTGCCATACATGGGACACTGGACCCGGTTTCAAACAACGCCTAAACTGGGTATTGGCCCCATGAATTCCGGGTTGAGATGTTGAGGGATTACTGACCTTAGTTCTCCAATTTTATATAATACAATTTATGACTTCAATTAAAAAATAAATAAAAAAAATTCGTGAGTTGTGCGAACCTCCTCTTCATACGTTTCTCGGCCTTTTGGCTAAACCACTTGTACCTCGCTCAACTATCAAGTCTGAGGCTCAGACTACCGGTAGCCTGTCCTTTCCCGACCCTCGGACAACCGGTAGTACATTACGGGAAAATAGAAAAGTAAAAAAACACAACAATACATACAACATTCAACAAAAAAAAAGGAAATACAGGTAAGCCCAACGAGAATAAATGTGCAAAATGAGAATGAACTTGGCGCCATAACATGAGCAGATACGCCAGCGCTTCTTTTTGTTTTGAATCTCTTTCTCTTTTTTTTTTTCTTTCTCTCTCTCTGTCTCCCTCAACGTTCAAATGTGAATGAATCTTCCGCGTTATCGTGAAAGATTCATTCACATTTGAACGTCGAGAGAGACAGAGGGCGTCAGAGAGTGTCTGACACCGAGTTTGGTGGACCAAACTCCACCAAACTCGGCGTCAGACACTCCCTAACGCCCTGCCTCTCTCTCTCTCTCTCGTTCTTCCCCCCCCTTTGCCCCCGTTTTTCTTTCGTTTATTACTTCTCATTTTTATCGTTTTTTTTTTTTTTTTTTTTTTTTTGTTGCCTCTATTTTGGGGAATACCGGTTGTCCGTAGGTGGGTACCTCGCCCGACACGGCGCGTTAATGCCCTCGTCGGCTTTTTCAAGCTGAGCGAGGTACTGGTGGTTTAAACCACCAGTACCTGGCCCAACTATCGAGTCCGAGCCTCAGCCGACCGGTACGCCGATCCGTGCCGAGGCTCGGACTACCGGGCACAGGCATCCCGAACTTCGGAGTGAAACGAACGAAAAAAACGGAAAAAAAAAAAA